CCCCCCCACCGAGGCAGCGCGGCAGCTCCCATCCACGGGGAAAGGCATTTGGGAAGTATTTCCCGTGGCGCTCAGCTCCCCGGGGTAACATTTCACCAACGAATGGGATCTGAGCCCTGCCCAAGCCCCGGCGCCCCGAGCGCCCGGCCCCGCCGGGAGCCCCGATAAGATGGGCTGAGAGGACCGGCGAACACCCCAGCTTTCGGCACACCCGAAGCCCAACGTGGGGAACGGCTTGCTGCCCCCGGGCTCGCTTTTTCTTCTGGGGCAGCTGCTCTAGTTAAATCCTCACCTTTCCCCACTTGCATCCTCGCTACGGCTGCAAACGCTACCGTCTGTAACGCCGCAGTCCCTCCAGTTGGTAACAGGGCGATTCGGTAACGCCACAATTTGGTAATCTTACGATTTGGTCACACCACAAACTGCCCAAAGCCCTGCGAGTCCTCGTCGCTCCCGGGGGACGCAGCAGCCTCCGCAGCCTCCCAAGCAGAGGCACCTATAGCGGACCGTATCCATCCCGGGCAGTGCTCGTGAGCTGCGCCCGGGCTCAGCGCCGGCAGAGCGTCTCGGCAAAATTAAGCCGAGCTGGAGAAGACGACGTTGGAGAGGGGAGCTCCTGGGGCATGGGAGGAGAGGGGAGCAGGACGTACCTTTGGTGTCGTCCAAGGTCTCTGGAAGGGGAAGGACCCACACCTGCATTTATGGGCAGGGACGAGCTCACCTTGCCAAGTGGAGCGTGCAAGGCCGCAGGCTCCGTATGGCATTTTTCACAGAAATAAAGGTCTGCTCAGTGAAAACAACAACCCTTTCAACCGGTGCCAGCACCTCCTGCCACAGGTAAGGCTGAGAATGTGCCTGAGAGATCTGCGAGGTGTAAGTGAATCCCAGAGACCACTCATGGGGAGTGGCAGCTCCCCAATACGGCGCGTGGGCAGCTCTCGCTCATCACCAGCTACAATTTCTCTTAAGAAGTGTTTATTTCACGAACACCAACCGTTCCCATCCGGCACCCCACATTTCCAACAAGCTGGTTTCAGGCGAGCGTGCCAGGGCCGGCGGGATGCCGGTGCTGGGGGGCTGAGCGCAGCCGGTGCATCCCGGCGCGGCCCCGCCGGCTTTGGTCTTTGGGTGTGGAGCTGAGCCGGGACTCCTGAAAAATGATGGGTCCCTGCCACAGCGCCTGTCCCCAGACCCTCCCCCGGAGGTCACCCGG